CTTGATAAAGGGCATCCCAAAACGGAATGCTCCCAAGGCTTCCCCGTTTGGAGCGCCCCAAACACGGGTGCAGTCAAACAGTGCGGTGTGTTGTTAACAAGGGGCATCCTAAAAAAGGATGCCCTCAACGCAGCGATGATTGAGGACATCCCAAACAAGAGTACCTTCAAACAGTGCGGGGTGATGTTGATAAAGGCATCCCAAAAAGGGATGCCCTCAACACAAGGATAACCTTCAGCAAGCTCCTCTTGGGTTCTTTTGGTTCCTCACCGATCCCCTTCATATCTCTATGGGCTTCCTGTTGGCTGTCTCGACGAATCCCTTTTGTAACAAGTTTTCAAATGATTTCCTTTCGTGGTGGATTATAATACGATTCACCGTTGTAGAGGATTACAAATGGATTCCTTTCGTAACGAATTACAGATTAATTCCCTTGTGGGTGATTTCCAAAGGGATTCCTTTGGTGGCGGAATACAAAGGGATTCCTTATGTGGCCGATTACAAATTGATTTCTTTTGTGACGAATTACAAATCAATTCCCTCTGTGGCGAATTACAAAAGGATTCCTTTTGTGGGGGATTACAAATTGATTCCTTTTGTGGGGGATTACAATTTGATTTCTTTTGTGGCGGATTACAAATTGATTCCCTTTGTGGAGGATTACACATCAATTCCCTTTGTTGCGGATTACACAGGGATTCCTTTTGTGGGGGATTACACATTGATTTCTTTTGTGGGGGATTACAATTTGATTCCGTTTGTGTCGGATTACAAATTGATTTCCTTTGTGGAGGATTCCTATGAGGAAACCAGGGAGAGAAAGAAAAAACAAATCAATGAAAAGTGTGAAAAATATTTGGTTTTCAATGTTTTTGGTGTCGGAGGCAAAGAAAAAGTATGAAAACACATCGTTTCCAGCACCCAGAGCTCCCAAACACTTTGTTTTACAATGTTCTTGTATTTCCCAATGCGGAAAACATTGTAAAACACATCGTTTTTATTTACGAATGCTGAAAAACGCTGTGTTTTACAATGCTTTCGGCATCGGGAAATGCAAAAACATTGTAAAACATAGTGGTTTGAAGCTCTGGGTGCTGGAAACTTTGTGTTTCATATTTTTCTTTACCTCCGACACCAAAAACATTGAAAACACAATAGTTTTCAGACTTTTCATTTTTTATTATTATTTTTTTTTTATCTCTGGTTTCCTCCTAAGAATCCTCCACAAAGGAAATCAATTTGTAATCCGCCACAAAAGGAATCAATTTGTAACCCGCTACAAAAGGAATCAATTTGTAATTCCCCACAAAAGGAATCCCTGTGTAATCCGCAACAAAGGGAATTGATTTGTAATCCTCCACAAAGGGAATCAATTTGTAATCCACCACAAAAGGAATCAATTTGTAATCCTCCACAAAAGAAATCAATTTGTAATCCGCCACAAAAGGAAACTCTCACCACCCAACGCTATCGCAAGAATAAGAAATTACATATGTAAGCAACGCGAAAGAAATAACACCGAAAAACCAAAAAACAGCACATCGTTAAATAGAACCATATTTTGACCTTGCGGGGGTGGGGGTGCAGGGGAGG